TGTTTCTCGTGTGTTTCTCGTGTGTTTCTCGTGTGTTTCTCGTGTGTTTCTCGTGTGTTTCTCGTGTGTTTCTCGTGTGTTTCTCGTGTGTTTCTCGTGTGTTTCTCGTGTGTTTCTCGTGTGTTTCTCGTGTGTTTCTCGTGTGTTTCTCGTGTGTTTCTCGTGTGTTTCTCGTGTGTTTCTCGTGTGTTTCTCGTGTGTTTCTCGTGTGTTTCTCGTGTGTTTCTCGTGTGTTTCTCGTGTGTTTCTCGTGTGTTTCTCGTGTGTTTCTCGTGTGTTTCTCGTGTGTTTCTCGTGTGTTTCTCGTGTGTTTCTCGTGTGTTTCTCGTGTGTTTCTCGTGTGTTTCTCGTGTGTTTCTCGTGTGTTTCTCGTGTGTTTCTCGTGTGTTTCTCGTGTGTTTCTCGTGTGTTTCTCGTGTGTTTCTCGTGTGTTTCTCGTGTGTTTCTCGTGTGTTTCTCGTGTGTTTCTCGTGTGTTTCTCGTGTGTTTCTCGTGTGTTTCTCGTGTGTTTCTCGTGTGTTTCTCGTGTGTTTCTCGTGTGTTTCTCGTGTGTTTCTCGTGTGTTTCTCGTGTGTTTCTCGTGTGTTTCTCGTGTGTTTCTCGTGTGTTTCTCGTGTGTTTCTCGTGTGTTTCTCGTGTGTTTCTCGTGTGTTTCTCGTGTGTTTCTCGTGTGTTTCTCGTGTGTTTCTCGTGTGTTTCTCGTGTGTTTCTCGTGTGTTTCTCGTGTGTTTCTCGTGTGTTTCTCGTGTGTTTCTCGTGTGTTTCTCGTGTGTTTCTCGTGTGTTTCTCGTGTGTTTCTCGTGTGTTTCTCGTGTGTTTCTCGTGTGTTTCTCGTGTGTTTCTCGTGTGTTTCTCGTGTGTTTCTCGTGTGTTTCTCGTGTGTTTCTCGTGTGTTTCTCGTGTGTTTCTCGTGTGTTTCTCGTGTGTTTCTCGTGTGTTTCTCGTGTGTTTCTCGTGTGTTTCTCGTGTGTTTCTCGTGTGTTTCTCGTGTGTTTCTCGTGTGTTTCTCGTGTGTTTCTCGTGTGTTTCTCGTGTGTTTCTCGTGTGTTTCTCGTGTGTTTCTCGTGTGTTTCTCGTGTGTTTCTCGTGTGTTTCTCGTGTGTTTCTCGTGTGTTTCTCGTGTGTTTCTCGTGTGTTTCTCGTGTGTTTCTCGTGTGTTTCTCGTGTGTTTCTCGTGTGTTTCTCGTGTGTTTCTCGTGTGTTTCTCGTGTGTTTCTCGTGTGTTTCTCGTGTGTTTCTCGTGTGTTTCTCGTGTGTTTCTCGTGTGTTTCTCGTGTGTTTCTCGTGTGTTTCTCGTGTGTTTCTCGTGTGTTTCTCGTGTGTTTCTCGTGTGTTTCTCGTGTGTTTCTCGTGTGTTTCTCGTGTGTTTCTCGTGTGTTTCTCGTGTGTTTCTCGTGTGTTTCTCGTGTGTTTCTCGTGTGTTTCTCGTGTGTTTCTCGTGTGTTTCTCGTGTGTTTCTCGTGTGTTTCTCGTGTGTTTCTCGTGTGTTTCTCGTGTGTTTCTCGTGTGTTTCTCGTGTGTTTCTCGTGTGTTTCTCGTGTGTTTCTCTTGTGGTTCTCGTGTGTTTCTCCTGAATTTCTTCTGCTTCCCGTGTATTTCTCTTGTCTTTCTCTTGTGCTTCTCGTGTGTTTCTCTTGTGTTTCTCTTGTGTTTCTCGTTTGTTTCTCTTGTGTTTCTCGTGTGGTTCTCATGTGTTTCTCATGTGTTTCTCCTGTATTTCTTGTGCTTCTATTGTGGTTCTCTGTCGTGGTTCTGCGGTCTTGTGTGTCACACAGACTCTTGCTGCTGTGCTTCATGTTCAGACTAAAGAAAGAGTAAAATAATCTGCCATTCTTTCTCTTGTGCTTCTCGTGTGTTTCTCTTGTGTTTCTCGTTTCTTTCTCTTGTGTTTCTCGTGTGGTTCTCGTGTGGTTCTCATGTGTTTCTCCTGTATTTCTTGTGCTTCTATTGTGGTTCTCTGTCATGGTTCTGCTGTCTTGTGTGTCACACAGACTCTTGCTGCTGTGCTTCATGTTCAGACTAAAGAAAGAGTAAAATAATCTGCCATTTTCTCAGTGTTCATCTGTGAATAGAAACTTTCCTTTATGCATACTGAACACACATACACACAGTAATGGATGTGTATGTGTACAGTAAGAGTTCTGATACACTGTGAAAGTGTGTGTTACATTATAATCAAACGAAGAGAGAGACATTAACTTTCAGCTGTGATTGAGAATGCGTGTGTGTTTGTGTGAAGGTTTGACTATACCTGTGAGGTCCAAATGCCCTCACTAATACAGTTAACCGTATTGAACAGCGACTGGTGAGCCGGTCCTCAGTAGTTTTAAAACAGGTGCTTGTGTTTGAATCTAGTGTTTTGCACAGGTTTCTGTGAGGGTTTATTTAGGGTTCGGAGGTCATTAAGAGGTTAAGACAGAAAATATCATTATCCATTAAAACAATGCATGTCTATGAGATGAGCTCACGAATGTGTGAGTGTGAGTGTGTTCAGATGCGCTGACAGACAAGCATCAGTGCCAAATTGTTTCCACTGGAAAGAATTTCAAGAATGAGACGGAACAGATATCAGTGACCCGGACAACCATTTAAAATACACACAGACACACACACACGCTCGCTCTCTCAAGCGCACACACACACACGCTGATGGTGATTTTCTCAGAAGTGCAGGAATCCGTGGAGCCTCCGGTGGGTCTGTCGTCAAGTGTGGAATCTCATGTTAGGATAATGATAGCCTGTCCGCTAATGCAAAAGCAGTTCATCTGATGTTCTGTAAGTTATTTCTCTACACATACTCAGCGCTGGGAGCATCACTTGATGTAAACGACACCTGTCCTGACCCCTAACCCCCAAGCTGGTGACCCGTGACATTCTGCCCACTGTAATTTTCCACACAATAACAGTGCGCTTACATTAGACAGATCTGGCATTGTTAATTGTCAGTATTGTAGTGCTGTATGAAACAGCGCTCACACAGAAGTCACTTTCAAACTGAGTGATCAACTGCTGAGAGTCACGTACTGAACACAGTATAAAACAGGTGACACTTATGTCGCTTAACAGAGAATCTATTCAGATCTGTGTTTCAATATGAAAAACTTTCAATGGCCAAATCAGAACAAATTTGACCGAAGGCCTGATTACTGAAACATTCAGTGGCATCGTTTGCATACATGCATCATTTGCACGAATACATTCAGCAGATGCTTTTATCCAAAGCCACATACTATTCACAGGAGATTTGTACAGTACTGTCAGAACACAATGTGAATGCTAGATGAGCACACAATCTAGAGCTGAAGAGATCGAAGCAGGAAGAACAGTTAAAGTCTTAATTTTGTGATCTTCAGCTCTCAGAAGTGAAACTGAGAGTCTGTCAGTGAATGAGTATGAGACGCAGAGCTCTTACTAACATCACATCAGCTGAGCTCATTCACTGCTGGGCTTTTGATTGAACAATGACCAAAATAACTAATCTGTGCTTCATGATTAGAGAAAACAGAAAGGTCTATGTTCCCTTTTGCCTAAAATTTAGGAAAACTTCAACACCCATAATGCACTGGGCTCAATCCGACTGTCCGTGAGCAGGGATGCAAAACCACGGCAGTGCTTTCTGTAATTTTCACAGAAGCCCTAGATCTGTCTGAAGTTCTCCTGCTGCACATGGGCAAACATTCAATTACTGATATTGTAACAATACAAAGCTGGTTGAAAAAGTCAATAAATTATAAATAATTCAAACTAAACGCGAGGCTCAAAGCAGCATTTCTGTTCTGTGGAGAGGAAGTGTGCTAGTTTCGAGGTGAGCCTGTGGAGGCAGGAAGGCAACGTGCGGTTAGCAAAACTAAATACAGTATACATGCACATTCACAACACACACACACACATACATAGATTCTCTGCAGGAAGTCACAATATGTTTAAAGTCTTTGTGTTGAGTGGCGAGTCGCATCGAGAAACAAACCAGGATAAAAACACACGGCCTGTTTCACGCTCACAAAGCAGCTCATAGATGTAAACAAACACTCCGAAAAATAGAGTATATTCACAGCAGAAGCACACACACAAACACACGTTTACAGTAATATTGTATAGACCTCTATTATTTTTATATACAGCTAGTTATAAATACTACAAACTAACCCTAACAGAAAACTGACTGCATTACTACACTTTTAAAAACACTTACTACATTTTTATACCGTGTTTACAAATACGGACGTCCCCAAAAGGAGGTTTTCTCAGTTTTAACATTTCTGGGTACAAATTATTTCTGAAAAATATGTTTAAGTAGGTACACACACACACACACGCGCACACACACGCGCACACTCTCTCTCTCTCCATGTGTGTATTTCCTCCAGGTTTTCTTCCCGTTTATAACACAGAGTCTGAAGAGAGTCTCGGGAAGCACTGGTTTGTAAAGCACTTTCAAATGGTTTATTTACAGCCTCTGTCAGTCAGAGAAGAAGCGGTGTACATACAAAATAAGAGCAAACTCCCTGAGTCTTTACAGATGAACAGTCAGGAAGTGATTCTGTGACGGACCCGCAACACAAACACGGACATCTACACATATATATATATACTGCATACAGACACACAAACACAGGATTCATAAGAACATGACACATGGTCAGTCCTGCTGTGGACAAATACAGCAATATCAGATGAAAGGAAGACGGCTGCGGTTTCTCCGACAGAATTCAGGACTGATGCAGACTGACACACTAAAGACATCTTACCGGTCATTCATCTACAGAATATTAACAGTAAAATCCACATACAAACACTAATGGCATCTGGTCAGGAAGATTGGTATTATTCAGAAAAGCATGTAAATAACAGGAATGAGTGCAGGACAGACCATCACCATCATCATTAGGAATAATCTTCTGACACACACACACACTGGTGGGAATGAAGTCCAGCTCATGGTCCGAGCGAACGGATGTCAGTGGATCAGTTGTTCTGTATGCGTTGGTGTGATCGTCTATTCTCTCTAATGCTGAGAGTTCTGCATCTGTTCGTTCTGCAGGTTTCCATCGCACTCTTCCTCCTCCTCCTCCTCCTCCTCTTCGCTCACCAGGAACTCCTCAGGAGGCCAGCGCAGCTCCCCGCTCTCCACCTCGCCCTCCGTCGGCTCCACCACGATAGACGGCAGACGGTCCTTCAGCTTACAGCAGCGCTCGAAGTCTGAGGGATCCGGAAAGATCTGAGCAGATAAACATCAAGAACATTCAGTCAGCTTACACACACACACACTCACTCACTCACACACACACACACACACACACACACACACACACTCACTCACTCACT